ACCCTTGACTTTCTTGGATTCTCTTTGCTCTTTGCCATTGCATTTCTAGTCAGTGTTTTACATCGATTGATATGTCCAGCTACATCATAGGTGTTCACTTTCAGGAATAAATGTAATTTCAAAGACAGTACATTTCTTTGAATGAACCTCTCCATGTTGTTGCTGTCTTCATCAATATGGTTATAAATTCTAATAGGATGCTTGGTCAGTACGAGAAGTGTCCACCTCCATGATTGATCATATTGAGGCAGTCTATTGTTGGAGGACAAACAATAAATGCTATGAGATGGGAATGTCAAGAATTGGAATGTAGTCTGCAGATAATTCTTCACAAAGTGTTGAAGGAGGAGAGGACAACAAATAGGGATTGTCATTATACTTTGCCCAACTGAATATCTGACTGGTTGTTTGATTGACTGGTTGTTTGATTGGCTGGTTGTTTGATTGACTGGTTGTTTGATTGGCTGGTTGTTTGATTGACTGGTTGTTTGATTGGCTGGTTGTTTGATTGGCTGATTGTTTGATTGGCTGGTTACTTGATTGGCTGGTTGTTTGATTGGCTGATTGTTTGATTGACTGGTTGTTTGATTGACTGGTTGTTTGATTGGCTGGTTACTTGATTGACTGGTTGTTTGATTGACTGGTTGTTTGATTGGCTGGTTGTTTGATTGACTGGTTGTTTGATTGACTGGTTGTTTGATTGGCTGGTTACTTGATTTGCTGGTTGTTTGATTGGCTGATTGTTTGATTGGCTGGTTACTTGATTGGCTGGTTGTTTGATTGGCTGGTTACTTGATTGGCTGGTTACTTGATTGGCTGGTTGTTTGATTGGCTGGTTGTTTGATTGGCTGGTTGTTTGATTGGCTGGTTACTTGATTGGCTGGTTGTTTGATTGGCTGGTTGTTTGATTGGCTGGTTATTTGATTGACTGGTTGTTTGATTGACTGGTTGTTTGATTAGCTGGTTGTTTGATTGACTGGTTGTTTGATTAGCTGGTTGCTTGGCAGATAAATTCCCTTGGAAGATTCGTTTTCACTCTCAGCTCTAATACTAGGATGTTCAAAGATCTTGTGAGCCTTTAAATGGCTTGTTTGCCTGCTTGCTTTCTTGCTGCTGCTTTTTCTTCTTCTGCTTCCTCATCCTCTTCCTCCTCTTTTTCTTCTTCTTTCTCCACCTCCTTCTCCTCTTGCTCTTCCTATTCTTCTTCTTTCTGCTGCTGCTACTGTGTCTTCTTCCTCTTTCTCATCCTCCTGTTACTGTTATTTCTTTTTCTTCTTCTTCTTCTTCTTCTTCTTCTTCTTCTTCTTCTTCTTCTTCTTCTTCTTCTTCTTCTTCTTCTTCTTCTTCTTCTTCTTCTTCTTCTTCTCATTCTCATTATTATTATTATTATTCATTTACCCTCAAAACTGCATTTGGCACTTTGTGCTGTGGCTTTCAGCTAGGCTGATATATCCGCGGCGTTAGGTCAAACAGCACGATGAAAGCAAACTTAAATTTGCTCCTTTATTTCCCCTCCTTCTCAGGAGCTGATGGGTCTGCTTTTTGCCCCCAACAAAATGGGTCCATGAAACCCACATGGGGAGACGTGAATTTCTACAGTGAGATTAGTCTTGCAGAGATCCTCTTCTCTTCTTGAAGTTTACAAACAGTAAGGTGTGCAAGATCGACACTGAACGTCCCATCTGCGGAGAGACACTTTAGCGTACACTGAGGTTATGGTTTTAGCTTTCCCTCTGTAAGGAGACACTTCACAATTCACTGAGGTTATGGTTTCAGTTTCCCATCTGTGGAGAGACACTTCACAATTCACTGAGGTTATGATTTCAACTTTCCCATCTGTGGAGAGAAACTTCACAATTCACTGAGGTTATGGTTTTAGCTTTCCATCTGTGGAGAGACACTTTACAATGCACGGATGTTTTGGTTTTTAGCTTCCCATCTGTGGAGAGACACTTCAGGATACACTTAGGTTATGGTTTTAGCTTCTCATCTGTGGAGAGACACTTCACAATTCACTGAGGTTATGGTTTTAGCTTTCCATCTGTGGAGAGACATTTCAGGATTACACTTAGGTTATGGTTTTAGCTTCTCATCTGTGGAAAGACATTTCAGGATTACACTTAGGTTATGGTTTTAGCTTCCCATCTGTGGAAGAGACATTTCAGGATATACACTTAGGTTATGGTTTTAGCTTCTCATCTGTGGAGAGACATTTCAGGGTATACACTTAGGTTATGGTTTTAGCTTCTCATCTGTGGAGAGACATTTAAAAATACACTTAGGTTATGGTTTTAGCTTCTCATCTGGAACCAGTTTTATGTTGATAGTGAAAATTTAAACAAACTCCAGCCCGTACCCAGATCTCTGTTTGACATATAACGGCTCTAAAGGATGATGAGGAGAATGATGATTATGGTAACATGATGGTAGCTGGGATACATTCAATTAAAAAAAAATTTCTATAAACTAATGTTCATCGACCCTTTTACACTGGCAAACAAGGATGTGTTTTCTTGTTAGCGATTTTAAAAAGGGAGGGAAGCTATGGAATTGTAGCCAGCACCCTTGTCTGGATTATCCCCCCTCTGAAATTTGCATTCATAAAGATTGAAACCCAGCGACGCAAAGAGCCATTATTCAGGTGTGAATCCAACAAGACTGAAACCCTGTTCATTTATATAATACATGGATATTAGGGTACTCAACGGGTTCAAAAGTCGGCTGGTCTACACCATACCTGATGTCCCACACTGCAACAGCGCCTTGAGACCGACGAGCGCATTTCGGAGGATACTAGCTTTTTCCTGGGATGAGTCAAGACAGCTTGAAAACTTTACTGTTTCTTCATAGCAGTCTCGAGCATTTTCCTTGGTGTGAAGATGGAGCTGTGTGGTCTCGGGGTTCCGGGTTCAATCCCCGGTAAAGGCTGGGAGGGATTTTTTTTACGTGGACTTAGTAATATCCCCTGGTCTCTGTGTAGTGAGATCAGACGCCCGTGTGAAAGGTTGCGCACGTAAAAAATCCATTGGCAGTTAGAAATAGAAAAGAATAGCCTAACGACACTGCCAGGGCAAAATTGAGTGAAGAATTTACTTAAAGTATTTCAGGATCCTAGTCGGTGCTACGGAGCATGTGCACTGTGCTGAGCTTCTTCGGACTCGAATTAGAAGAGGAAAGGAGCACTTATGAGTTAACCCGTGTGCAATTAAAGTTGATGCGTTGTTCAAAATCTGAAACCTTGGTGGGAAGCTGGTCGAGGAGAGAAGCTCTGGATGGCGCATAGACGGAGCACTGCTCTTCCTTTCCTGCAACTTGTGCGTCAAGCTTTGTTCTAAACGTAATTTAGTACTAAAAGTATTACACTTTTCCTTTGGAGTAAATAAGGCAGGTGGGATAAGGGATCGTACTGTATGGGCCATAAACTCATCTCTACAAAACTGTGAAGGTGTTTGTGCTATGGAAATTAGGAAGTCTATCTCCGGCCTTTTTTCGCCTTGAAAACAAATCGACAGGCAGTAGTTATTCGTATGTCCTTGTAATTCTGCATGGGCTGGGGTGCACGTGCTGCAACTGACGATGTCTGTAAACGTAATGTCATTGGTTAGTAAGATTTTTCTTCAAGTAGAACGGGTGTGGGAGTCGCCATGGCCTAGCGGCTAGACGCTCGTCGCGGATCGGAAAGTCGTGGGTTCGCTTCCTGGCGGAGCCAGACTTTTTTCAAAAATGATCTTGGCTACCAGGGAGTCGCAGACAATGGCGAGGGTGAATGCGACCAGCGAGACCTTCTAAAATAAATGTAAAGGACCATTTCCCACGCCCTTAGGCGTATAGGGCATATAGGACTAGAATATAAATATATTTTTACAGAGCAATCGGCACAAGATGGGTGATGTGGTCAGCATCACGCCGGCCGCCTCTACTTCCCGGGACTGCACCCGGTACCCACTCAAGGCTGTGACTTCTTACAGTCTGATAAAACACAAATTTCGATAAGGTGCCGGTGCCAACCAGTGCCGTATTGACAGAGATATACCTGGTACATAGCATAGCATGGACAGGGATCTACCTGCCCATGCCATACTATATACTAGGGATCTACCTGTCCATGCCATACTATATACCAGGGATCTACCTGCCCATGCCATACTATATACTAGGGATCTACCTGTCCATGCCATACTATATACCAGGGATCTACCTGTTTCCATCTACCTGTCCATGCCATACTATATACCAGGGATCTAATATACCAAGGATCTACCTGCCCATGCCATACTATATACCAGGGATCTACCTGTCCATGCCATACTATATACCAAGGATCTACCTGTCCATGCCATACAATATACCAAGGATCTACCTGTCCATGCCATACTATATACCAGGGATCTACCTGCCCATGCCATACTATATACCAGGGATCTACCTGTCCATGCCATACTATATACCAGGGATCTACCTGCCCATTCCATACTATATACCAGGGATCTACCTGCCCATGCCATACTATTTACCAGGGATCTACCTGTCCATGCCATACTATATACCAAGGATCTACCTGTCCATGCCATACTATATACCAAGGATCTACCTGTCCATGCCATACTATATACCAGGGATATACCTGTCCATGCCATACTATATACCAGGGATCTACCTGCCCATGCCATACTATATACCAGGGATCTACCTGTCCATGCCATACTATATACCAGGGATCCACGTCCCCAGTGAGATTATGCAGTCGATAAACATCAGGTGTGTTACTGAGTGAGCAGTATTTTGAACAATTTAAAAACAAAACAAAAATTATTTTTTTTTCAAATAAATATATTAGACTTTATTGTTGCATAGTGAAAATACATTTGAAAAGAAAAAATGTAGCGTGGAGTTAAGAAATGTTTATAAATATGCTGTTTATTATATATAATCTGTGATACTCTGCACCCAGAAGCAGGGCCATTCTGCTGCGTGCTGAAAATTTGTTAGAAATCGAAAGTTTATTTTTTCTTCAAAGTGTTGTAAAACTCCGTCACCAGCAATTCTTGTTCGGTCGTCTCAACAGAACCTGGTCTCAACTTCCGGACATGCGCAATTGCAGCTTCCGGCTCCATGTTGTGAACTTGAACAAAGTAGCAAGCCAACATGGTACCTGTTCTACCCAAACCATGGGCGCAGTGGACACAGGTGGCCTGCAAATAAACCAGCGTTATATCTAATGTTAGATCTAAAGTAATTTAACGTGTGTTCTACAATAAGCCAACAGTGGTTCTGAAGTAAATAGAGCACATTAGATCTAAATTTATATAACAAGTTACATCTGAAGTTGATTGATTCAACATTAAACCTTAAGTAATCCAAAATAAGATTTATAATAACTCTACGTCAGATATTAATTAATTTAACTTTAGGTCAAAAGTAAACCAACAATAGATCTAAACTAAACTAAACTAAACTAAACTAAACTGACTTCTAAACTAATCGAACTTTAGATCTAAATTAATATACTGTTACATCTGAAAGTAAACTAAAATGAAATCTAAACTAATCCAACGTTAGAGTAAGGTTAAATCTAAAGTTATTTGACATTAGATCTAAAGTTGTCAAATTTTAGATCTAATGTAAGCTAGTGATTAGTTCCAAAGTAAACCACTAGATCTAAAGTAAACTAAAATGATGTATAAAAAAAAACTAAAGTTAGAGTTAAATTAATCCAAAATTAGATTTATTTGCCACCAGTGGCAGCCAGAAAGTCTAGAGGTCCCATACTGCCACCAGTCCCCGCCAGAAGGTCTAGGGGTTCCATGCAACCAGTCCCCGCCAGAAAGTCTAGAGGTCCCATACTACCAGTCCCTGCCAGAAAGTCTAGAGGTCCCATGCCACCAGTCCCTGCCAAAAAGTCCAGAGGTCTCATACCACCAGTCCCCGCCAGAAAGTCTAGAGGTCCCATGCCACCAGTCCCCGTCAGAAAGTCTAGGGGTCCCATACTGCCACCAGTTCCTGCCAGAAGGTCTAGGGGTCCCATACCACCAGTCCCTGCCAGAAGGTCTAGGGGTCCCATACCACCAGTCCCCGCCAGAAGGTCTAGGGGTCCCATACCACCAGTCCCCACCAGAAAGTCTAGGGGTCCCATACCACCAGTCCCCGTCAGAAAGTCTAGGGGTCCCATACCACCAGTCCCCACCAGAAAGTCTAGGGGTCCCATACCACCAGTCCCCGTCAGAAAGTCTAGAGGTCCCATACCACCAGTCCCCGCCAGAAAGTCTAGGGGTCCCATACCACCAGTCCCCGTCAGAAAGTCTAGAGGTCCCATACCACCAGTCCCCGCCAGAAAGTCTAGAGGTCCCTTCTCACCAGTCCCCGCCAGAAAGTCTAGAGGTCCCCTCTCACCAGTCCCCGTCAGAAAGTCTAGAGGTCCCATACCACCAGTCCCCGCCAGAAAGTCTAGAGGTCCCATTCTCACCAGTCCCCGCCAGAAAGTCTAGAGGTCCCTTCCTCACCAGTCCCCGCCAGAAAGTCTAGAGGTCCCTTGCTCATTCACATGTTTCTTGTTTCCTGTTCAGGATGTCACTTCTCTCGTATGCTCATTTTCCTGCTATTTTACAGCTGCTGCTGCTTCTTCCATGCTTTTTCGCTTTGTTCAACTCCTTCAGTGCCAACCAACTCCTTACGTTTACTTCCCATACGTTACTTCAAAGACAATACATTTTGCTCCTCCTATCTTCTACCGTTTTCTTCTTGTCTTCGCTTTCTTATTTACACTGAGAGACAAGTTCTTGTAATAAACTTAAGAGTTTTTAGGAGCACCGTTTTATGTCCATATAACTTCGAGTACAGTGTTGACTCAGTGGACCAGTATTACCTTCTGAATGGGCTGTACAAGGGACAGTCTTGCAGGACATGTATTGTAGTCTGCACACACAGCACACACGGGCACATGGTGAACTACGTAGACGAAGCCTGTGTATATGTCTGTTGAGTTTGTTACGTCGTGTCCTGAGGCGCAGAATAATGACCAGCCCATGCCGGTCAGGTAAGTGGTGGTAATCTCTGGCCAGACTGTTCACTTCTGATAGTCTAAATGGTCCTTTTTATTTTTATAGTATGTTACTGCATTTTGTTCCTCTTCACTTTCTGCCTCTTTCTTAGCATGTTTGTCTGAGGTTTCATTTCCTGGTATACCATAGTGGGATGACATCACTGGCGTACAGTATGCTTTTGGGCAATCACCTTGCCAAGTTCAAATCGCAGGTGACTGAGTTTCACAACTTTTGAGGGCTTGGGGCACCAATAGCGCCTCTGTGAAGATGACCACTTGATGGAGAACCAAAACTGGTGTTATGTTACATTTCGGCAGCCTTCTCTAGCATTAGTATCTCTGGTGTGTAGTTGCAACAAAATTTGCCAGTGGGTATGTACTTTGTGTGGCGGTGGTTGAGAATCGAGGTGGTAACTGTGGCGTTCAGATGGGTGGACAAATCCTTAGCCACACATATCATGGTATCAGATTCCTAAAGCATTCCAAGGAAGATGGAGTCTGATTTCCTTGTATGGAAGAGATTATATCAATAGATATTTTGCCTGGGCCATTCAGGTGTATTTGTGAATGAGCAGGCAGATAGGCTGGCTGAAATGGTCCATTGGGAAAGGGGGAGGCGATGGGGAGTTGACTGCAACTGCACAAGGCAGAGCTGATCACAAACTGCGGGAAAGGGAATCAGTTGAAATGGAAGATTCTGAAAATCCGTACCTGGAGAGAATGATACAGCAGGGAGTGGATGTGTGCTGTGGGCGCTACTCGAGAGTCAGAGGGAAGGCAGGAGGAGCACTTGCCCAGATAACAACGGCCACCACAAATGTGGAAACTCTTCGTTGTCTGTTGAAGAGGGAGACGGAGCTACTATAGGCTTGCCCTGAATGTTGTGATGTCAAATCTTTACCCAAGTGAACCCACTTGGCGGACACTTACTTGTAAAGACCAAGAGAAGTGGCTTGGAGCCAGCTTACACGAGATTGACGTAACCAGTTACCTTTCCTGTAGCTTTGGTCTCCAGAACCTGGTTGATGAATTCACTGACTTGCTCCATGGTCGGCGGCGTGTAGTCACGGATGGGAATCCACACAATCTTCAGCTTCTTTTCTGTTGAAATTAAGGAGTTATACAAGCGTTAGGAGGTTCCAAGAAACAACATGCCATGGAAAACACTGCTCATCTGCATTCTGGGTAAATGCTGCTTCTATCATGGTTCGTAGATTAATCTGGACTCGATAAATGCTGTCAGTGTCATGTGCATGCTACCTAGTTTAACATGGACTGATGAATAATAATAATAATACTGAAACACCACATTTGTTGGTTGTTGAACAAACGAGCACAAGGGTGGTAGGCTAGCAGGCCGGCTACTGGGTTATCGTGGATTTTACAACGTTTATTGTTTGGTGTGAATTTGGTAAGCCCCCTCACCCCCCCCCCCTCCCCCAACCTCCCCGGTTTTTTCTGCTTTCCAAAATTTGCTATTTTCACTCCTCTTTGTATTTAACTTAAACTTCTTTCCTCTCTATCTATCTATCTATCTATCTATCTATCTATCTATCTATCTATCTATCTATCTATCTATCTATCTATCTATCTATCTATCTATCTATCTATCTATCTATCTATCTATCTATCTATCTATCTATCTATCTATCTATCTATCTATCTATCTATCTATCTATCTATCTATCTATCTATCTATCTATCTATCTATCTATCTATCTATCTATCTATCTATCTATCTATCTATCTATCTATCTATCTATCTATCTATCTATCTATCTATCTATCTATCTGTCTGTCTGTCTGTCTGTCTGTCTGTCTGTCTGTCTGTCTGTCTGTCTGTCTGTCTGTCTGTCTGTCTGTCTGTCTGTCTGTCTGTCTGTCTGTCTGTCTGTCTGTCTGTCTGTCTGTCTGTCTGTCTGTCTGTCTGTCTGTCTGTCTGTCTGTCTGTCTGTCCTGTCTGTCTGTCTGTCTGTCTGTCTGTCTGTCTGTCTGTCTGTCTGTCTGTCTGTCTGTCTGTCTGTCTGTCTGTCTGTCTGCCTGCCTGCCTGCCTGCCTGCCTGCCTGCCTGCCTGCCTGCCTGCCTGCCTGCCTGCCTGCCTGCCTGCCTGCCTGCCTGCCTGCCTGGCGGTCGGTCGGTCGGTCGGTCGGTCGGTCGGTCGGTCGGTCGGTCGGTCGGTCGGTCGGTCGGTCGGTCGGTCGGTCGGTCGGTCGGTCGGTCGGTCGGTCGGTCTGTCTGTCTGTCTGTCTGTCTGTCTGTCTGTCTGTCTGTCTGTCTGTCTGTCTGTCTGTCTGTCTGTCTGTCTGTCTGTCTGTCTGTCTGTCTGTCTAATCTCTCTCTGTCTGTCCGTCCGTCCATCCACCCGTCCGTTCATAAGTCTGTCTATCTTTCTTTCTTTCTCTCTCTCTCTCTCTCTCTCTCTCTCTCTCTCTCTCTCTCTCTCTCTCTCTCTCTCTCTCTCTCCAGTTATCTCCCTGAATGTAATCATCTCCCTTTCGCGCGCTCTCTCTCTCCAGTTATCTCCTTGAATGTAATCATCTCTCTCTCTTTCTCTCTCTCCAGTTATCTCCCTGTATGTAACCATGTTTCTCTCTCTCTCTCTGTCTCTCCAGTTATCTCCCTGAATGTAATCATCTCTCTCTCTCTCTCTCTCCAGTTATCTCCCTGGATGTAATCATGTCTCTCTCTCTCTCTCTTTCTCTCTCTCCAGTTATCTCCCTGAATGTTATCATGTCTCTCTCTCTCTCTAGTTATCTCTCTGAATGTTATCATGTCTCTCTCTCTCTAGTTATCTCCCTGAATGTTATCATGTCTCTCTCTCTCTCTCTCTCTCTCTCTCTCTCTCTCTCTCTAGTTATCTCTCTGAATGTCTAGTTATCTCTCTCCATCTCTCTAACTCGTTCTCCTGTGTATATAACTTGCCCTCAAAAAACCTCCCTCTCGTTTATCTACACAAACACATCACTGACAGACCTAGAAGGAAACAACACAAGAAAGTTCCCCATCATCAGAGCTAGACACGACAACCAACTGTCAGCTACAACAACGTGTCGCTTGACAAATAACATCTCTGAGCCCTCAGACAATACAAAGGTCACCATATTTTAAAAACAGCTCTAGCGGTCAACACACGTTAGACTTGACCCCGGAAAACAGTTTTTTTTCTCTCAAAGTTTCAACCTGAGATTGATTTGTTGTGAAGCATTATGTCACAGTACAAGCTGCTCATTAACTTAATAACATGTGAACAATCAGGAAATCTACATCTCTTTCATTTATCTGGGACGGCGAATAGCACTTTGTTCTTGTGCTGCAGCAGTTGCTGGGTAACACTTTTGGAACATCTGTTGCATTTCTAAATGCCAACAGTCTTTCTCTCCGTGGCATTCTTTTCACAAAAGGGGGATGTGGAGGATCTGCTGTCTCGCCTCCATCTTCTTGACAGTCTTTCTAATTGAGGCCCATTTCTGACACTATACTTTCCAACATTACCTCATTTCTTGGTATGCTTGGCTATTCTCGACTGTGGTTTCAGTTTTAAAAAATTAACCTTATGAGATAAAATGAAAAAAAAAATGACTGTGAAATAACACTCCACCAAGTTTTGCTGTACGATAGCACGTCACAAAACTGGACTGTGAAATAGCAAGCCACCAAACTTGACTCAAGATAGCATGTTAGAAAACTTGACTGTGATATAGCACGTGACAAAACTCGACTGTGATATAGTACTCCACACAACTTGACTGTAAGATAGCATGTCATAAAATTTAATATGAGATGGCAGGTCATAAAACTTGACTGTAAGATAACATGTCAAAAAACTGACTGTGAGAAAGCACGTCGCAAAACTTTACTGTAAGATAGTGTGTCACAAAATTTGACTGTGGTATAGCAATGTCACAAAATCTAACTGGGAAAAGGTATGTCATAAAACTTGACTGTAAGAAAGTATGTCATAAAATTTGACTGTAAGATAGTATGTCATAAAACTTGACTGTAAAATAACATGTCCCAAAACCTGACTGGAAGATAGTATGCCACAAAATTTGGCTGTAATATAGCAATGTCACTAAACCTAATTGTGAGATAGCAAGTCAGAAAACTTGACTGACAAAATTTAAAAATCCGAGATAACAAATCACCAACGACTATTTGCTCGAAAATAACAATTGATCATGTTATCTGTTCTTGTCTGCAGCTCTCAGTGTTACTGTTACCGTGCAATGCTTCCTACTTATTGTCATCTAGTCCAAGTTGATCTGAAGCCAGTTGAGATATGGTCAAAATGTAGTTGAAATCATCTTTTTATGAAGGAGGACGGTCAGTTTGTAGTTATTTATTTATTTATTGAGTTGATTTGTTATATTTCTGGAATGACTAATTGCGCATGCGTCGATGCTACGTCATTCAAGATTATATTATACTTAAGAAAGCTGCTGTTTCAGCTCACAGATTCAATGGGTTAGAGGTTAGTGAAACTGTTTCATAATGCAGTTTTCTACGTTTACCTGAGTTAAATTCCCATGATGGGCTGTTTAGAGAGATTGTACTCGTGTCTTTTCAGTCAGTGGTACGAGAATCGTACTGTGGAAAAGATTAGGGCATCACAACGAAACATTTTCCACAGGTATCACTGAGACATTTCAGCCCGTCTCTATTGTGGAGACGACATAATTGTGTCTGTATGTGCTCTTGCTTTACTGAACCCTTAGTGAAATTTGGTGGTCAGTTTTCAAGCAACTCCTTTGGAAATGGATAATACGACAAAGGAGAAACTTACTGAAACTACAGTTTAAGTTTGATACAGCAACTCAAGTGTGGCTAAAAGTTGTACAGTCACAGTGGTCTCAGCGGCAAGCATTTTAGAAACGCTGCTTAAAGGTCCAGGAATGCGTATTGCGAACATGTTAGTGCGGTTCCTAAAAAAAAAAAAAACAGGTAGCTCAGTTGCTTTGCGATTTGTTGTAATTAATTCGCCCTCGACGCCTTCCTAAATATGAATATAAATATGGTTATTCATTTAAATAGAGCCGGTTGTTTCCACGGCACGTCATAGTTTATGAATATTTCTTTTATCGTGGTTGGCAGAGGGATTTTGATTTCTTCCCTAACTTCCAGATTGTTTTACGGTTGGCTGCATTTTACAGCAACGTTTTCTTCTTGGTGGGGTAACAGGTTAAACCCCAGCTATCGCTAATGGCTCTCACGACATGCAAGGACGATTACAGTGTTGCTGCTGTTTTATCTTTTGTAACACAGGGGTAGCAATCCCACCCACTCACTCACCTTTAATGTAGCCTCTGTTGACCTCCCGCTCCCCGGTCAGTGTGACCAGGCACCCGATGTTGTTGTTGACCAAAAACTGCAAGTTCTCTACGCTGTCAGGAAATTTGCAAGCGGCCAGCACGTTGGGCTCTACCCAGGAAAAGTTTCCCGGTTCCTGTGCCGGCTTTTTCGACACTTTCTGTTCTGAAGTCATTCTTCCAATCTGAAACCAAAAACAACGAAAAAATAACACCTAATGTTGACAGGTGCTGAAATGGGAGAATAAATGGACTGACGAAATGAGGACATCCAAAACACGAACTGCTGATGAAAGTTATCAAAGTCTCTGGGCTGGATCCCAGTCAACCACAATATTGAAAAGATTAAATATAATAGAACGAATAAAAAAGACTTCGAGCCTAACAGGCACATTACGTTGATTATTATTACTATTATTATTATTATTATTATTATTATTAATTGTCATAATCGTGATCATTATCAGGATCGTATTTTTAGGGATCCGTTCTCAAGTATGTCTTACCCAGGCGTCGATGATGATGATGCTGATGATGATGCTGATGATGATGTTGGAAACACCCACAGAAGATGAATGTTCACATCAAGACGATGCTGTCATCATTACAGAATGATGCGGTGAAACACGGAATGATGTGCTTAGTGCATTGACACAAACATTGAGGGGCGTTTTCATTGCTATGTTCTTCTTCTTCGTGTTCCTGTCGTGTGACGCTGTAACCATGTCTTTCCATATCCGCCTGTTTCATCTAGTGTCAGTCATTTCTGCTGCACAGCAGATTCGCCTGGTCTAAGGTGGGGGAAGGAGGGGGAAGGAGGGGGGGGGGGAGTTGAATGAGTCACTTCTAACCCAGCCTAGACCGAACAACGAGCGACAAACCCCCGGTGATACAAAGTGTAACCATTCGGATAAGAATCCCCCGGGCAGAAATCCCAGAAACCTCGTTCAAGCACCAAGTTATATAAGGTCCTCGTGTAATCGAGAAAAAATGAGGAAAACCACATCGCTGTTGTATAAAAAATATGTATATATATATATATATATATATATATATATATATATATATATATATATATATATAATATATATATATATATATATATATATATCATGGGCTGACACAATGCCAGAATCCGAATATCAGATAACTTATTGTGCTATCCCTAATTATATTCGGGCATTAAAATTGTTTCTCTCCAAAACGTCTATTTTTTTACGCTCAAACAACATCTTTTATAATACAATGCTGCATCTGATTACATACAAAGATATGGGTAATTTATGTAATATTTTGTATGAAACATTGTGTATGTAACATTGTGTATGTAGCACTGTGTATGTAACTGAACCTGTCTGTATTCAGAGTGTATGGAAGACATTTCCATATTTGGAAATATATTCTGCATTAGATTAGTTATCTAGAATCTACAACACAAGGCTGAAAATGATCACCGAAGAGCGACCGACAGATAACAGACATTTACCTTAGCATACTTCTATGCTCGAGTTTTCTCGAGATCAAACTGACAGATTATCCGATCCTCCCTGAAAGGGCATCCACAATGTACAAAAGAGACTTTATTTACAATTCAGGGGAGACTGGAAATATTTTCGTTGATACAAATACCTGAGTCAGCAAAAAGCGGCTGTTGTGTGTTGATATCTGAGAGATGCAGGATGTAACATCAACTTGTTAGGAAGGGCGGTAATTTCTAGTGGCCAAAGCGTCTCTTCAATGCCAGTTTCTGGGCACCGTGTTGAAGTAAGTCTAAGGCAATGCAATACCTATGTCCTGTAGAGAATGCATTACCAGCGTAAGTCTGATCTCAGACAGTCAGTATGCCGTGTCATCACTGTCGATGTCACTGCACATTGGGCATTGCTGTGAGTGCTGAGAGCTCTGATGTTTCTACTGATTGTTCCCGCGAACAGCTGGTTATCTTTTATCTCGGCCTCAAAGTCAGCATAGACATGCTTCACCATGCTTTACTCCAATATCACGCAATCGTGTTAGTGTTAGAGATTCGTAACTATCTACTAACTTAGTCCGTACAGCGCTGATGGTATCCAGTCTCTCCAAGCTTCTTCCCACATGCGTTGATGCATTACTTGCTAGTTGGTCCGTTCGCTTCTCACCTTTCACGCGGCCATGGCCAGGTGTATAGATCCAGGCGAGAGAGGTTGAGTGAGATTCCCGAACATTTTCTACCTGTTTAGAATGTATGCTAGCTGTTGCAAAGCTTGTTCGAGGAGGTGATACGATTACTGTACGTTTGACTGCACATGCTGCTGGTTGGGGCCTATGCTCCGTTGGGGGACAACAGGAACACATATCTGAGCTTGAGAAGGAAATCCGCGAATCGTAATCCCATATTGAGAGTCCGTGGGGACATCGAGCATGCACTAGTTTGTGATGCCTCCAAGGATGTTCAGGTGACGATAAAAAAAATGTCGAAGCTGAAAAATAATTCGTCTTCATAACATTCTTCGCTCGGAGAATCAGAGTGTTCTCCACGTGGGACTTTGACCTAGAAAACATACCGTCAAGAAGACATACCCGTCAATAAGACATACCCGTCAATAAGACATACCCGTCAAGAAGACATACCCGTCAAGAAGACATCCCCGTCAAGAAGACATACCCGTCAAGAAGACATACCCGTCAATAAGACATACCCGTCAAGAAGACATACCCGTCAAGAAGACATACCCGTCAAGAAGACATACCCGTCAAGAAGACATACCCGTCAAAAAGCAGACTATCGAATATCCACACAGAACTTCCTTTTCGCTATTTCAGAGGCGTCCATTTTAGGTACAAAATAGTCCATTTGTCATCCAAACGCCCTCGGCCTGCTTTCCGGAGATTTTATATCCGATAAGGGAAGAATTTATTTGTTAATCTAGTGACCTTAAGTATGCTATCATCTGCTAAAACAATACAACATCAAATAGCTAGTGGTATCTCGGTATACGTTCGCTTTTGTATATGTTCAGCTGGATATAGGAAAACATCTGCCTGGTATACGACGTCTGTTTGGAATACGATCCACCCGCTAAAAGTTGTAGTCAAAATTAGGGACGACACCGGGAGCTACAGCCGCTTACTTGCTCGAGAGCCACGAATAAGATGTCCATGATTGTGCAGAGAAGTGCCAGACGAGTCGTAACAGCATTGTCTGCAATGAAGAGACATTTCCGAAACAGCTCAAGGAGAAAACAGAAGGAAAGATCTGTGAACAGATGTTTAGTACAAGTCACACCTGATGTGTCTCAACCAGATCCAAGTAGCGAACAGAGACGGGCGGAGGGGTGGGGTGGCACACACACACACACACACACACACACACACACACAACACACACACACACACACACACACACACACACACACACACACACACACACACAACACACACACACACACACACACACACACACCACACACACACACACACACCCACACACACACACACACACTACACACAAACACACACACACACACCACACACACACACACACACACACACACACACACACACACACACACACACACACACACCACACACACACACACACACACACACACACACACACACACACACACACACACACACACACACACACACACACACACACACACACACACACACACACACACACACACACACACACACACACACACCACACACACACACACCACACACACACACACACACACACACACACACACACACACACACACACACACACACACACACACACACACACACACACACACACACACACACACACACACACACACACACACACAGAGTAGCATTTCACATTTCTAAAGTTTTATTAGAGGACTTTGCTTTCAAACAACAGCGATCCTAGTGGACACTCGACTCTTTTCACGAAGGTCAAGTGACGTTAAGTTGTCATTTATTTCATCTCATTTATTTGTACACATTTTGGTTAATAGCATAATATACGCTGAATTGTGGTCCGGGTTCACTCCCGGGGGTAGGCAGAAAAGCCACATTTCTCCCAGATTAACGGTACCTATAATGGAATCAATGCCGAAGGGTTGCGATATCCATAGTACCGAGCCAAAGGGTTTACAACTCATGGTTTTTGGATACTTAAAAAAAAAAAAAAAATAGGGTTTGTATAAAATTATTTGTGTACCGCCCAATACTAATATATTTATATATCTGCACTTCTAAATGAGATGAGATCCTTACCTGCGTCTGTACTTCTAATATATATATATTAGTTTGTTGGTTCTTGTCTCTAAGGTCAACCTAGACTTAAATAGTTACCAGATGAAGCCTGGGAAGTAAAGGGGGCCAGTGGAATGTTGACCACATCGCCCAACGAACGCTAATTGGTCTCTAAAATAACGGTCTAGCCCTATATGCCCAATTCGCCTAAAGGCGCGAAAAGGGGTCCCTTATTTTACTTTATGCATTCGCCATCTACGGTTTTCTATTTCTACTTTAAATTCATACTATCAATGTTTATGCATATGTATATATATGTGTGTGTGTGTGTGTGTGTGTGTGTGTGTGTGTGTGTGTGTGTGTGTGTGTGTGTGTGTGTGTGTGTGTGTGTGTGTGTGTGTGTGTGTGTGTGTGTGTGTGTGTGTGTGTGTGTGTGTGTGTGTGTGTGTGTGTGTGTGTGTGTGTGTGTGTGTGTGTGTGTGTGTGTGTGTGTGTGTGTGTGTGTGTGTGTGTGTGTGTGTGTGTGTGTGTGTGTGTGTGTGTGTGTGTGTGTGTGTGTGTGTGTGTGTGTGTGTGTGTGTGTGCGTGTGTGTGTGTGTGTGTGTGTGTGTGTGTGTGTGTGTGTGTGTGTGTGTGTGTGTGTGTGTGTGTGTGTGTGTGTGTGTGTGTGCGTGCGTGCGTGCGTGCGTGCGTGCGTGCGTGCGTGCGTGCGTGCGTGCGTGCGTGCGTGCGTGCGTGCGTGCGTGCGTGCGTGCGTGCGTGCGTGTGTGTGTGTGTGTGTGTGTGTGAGAGTGAGTGATTCACCACAGAGACGCGGGGTCAGGCAGGTGCATGTCGTAAAACAACTTATGAGATGAAGTTAATATTCCAATATAAAAATATCATTCAGTTTAGTTACTCACTCTCTATCATAGATTATTGGTCAAGTAACTTTTCCAACCATTTGCTAGATTTAGTTCGACGTTAGTCTCCCCAAACAAAGTAGGTCAGTTTTCATTGACAAGTTTGTTAGGCTGGTCGACTTTCCTGTAGTTTGCAGTTGTGTCCCGTTCTCTTGTTCGGTTTCCTTGATGTCGTGCATAAACGTTTTCATCCCAAAAAAGAGAATGCCTGTGACATAGGTTGCAGCACTGTCTAGGGGAGTTGTGTTAGACCCAGTGTGACTATGTTTTTGTAGTGTTAAAAGCGCTGGCGTGCTGAAATATACAATACACGATATCAACGACATTGCAAAACACCCCCGTAGCAGTGTGCAAAGAGAGCGAGGCTCAGGAAGCATAAATTAGAACTGAGCTAGTGTGTATATTGGCTGGCTCTGAGGAGACTAACATCGAACTAACCCGCTACTAGATGAATATATTTAAATGAACCAGTCACAACTGTATGGTTGATCTTAGAAACACCACAAACCGTCTTTACCTCCTTCCAGTGGCTGAAAACTTCCCCTGCCTGGTTAGACACACTAACAGATGACCAGTGCAGTCAAGCAGCTGGGACCTGTGGTGTCGGAGTTCAGTTTCTCAGTGACCAAGGGCCACTTAGGGGCGAAACGATCAGACGATTAGTTTCACTTTCTGTAGAGACATTTCTGCCATGAGGGTGGGTCGGTACCTGGTTTCTAAAAGCGTACTGGACGGTTTTCTTTCTGATAATTTATTTTTCAGCAATCCGAGCACCTGTGGTTCATCGCTGCAGATATCATCAGCTTGCATTCTTCTCTCTGGCTGTTCTTCTTCTTCAGCAATCCGAGCACCTGAGGTTGTTCATCGCTGCAGATATCATCAGCTTGCATTCTTCTCTCTGGCTGTTCTTCTTCTTCAGCAATCCGAGCACCTGAGGTTGTTCATCGCTGCAGATATCATCAGCTTCCATTCTTCTCTCTGGCTGGCCTTCTTCTTCAGCAATCCGAGCACCTGAGGTTGTTCATCGCTGCAGATATCATCAGCTTCCATTCTTCTCTCTGGTTGGCCTTCTTCTTCAGCAATCCGAGCACCTGAGGTTGTTCATCGCTGCAGATATCATCAGCTTGCATTCTTCTCTCTGGTTGGCCTTATTCTTCAGCAATCCGAGCACCTGAGGTTTTTCATCGCTGCAGATATCATCAGCTTCCATTCTTCTCTCTGGCTGGCCTTCTTCTTCAGCAATCCGAGCACCTGAGGTTGTTCATCGCTGCAGATATCATCAGCTTCCATTTTTCTCTCTGGTTGGCCTTCTCTCTCCAATTGGTAACACCAAGTGTTTGCAGATCAGTCTGGATATTATTTTTATCGTCTTTTTGGTCTACCTCGTGGTTTACGCCATTCAAATCTCGCGTGTACACAGTTTTTACCTCTCTGTCATCTGACATTCTCTCAGTATGTCCGAGCCAGTACAGTCTTAAGATGCTAGTTATTCGGGTGACTTAATAAACAGATAATGAATTTCGTTGTTGCTTTTCGCTTTTTTATGGTAATACTTTTCACATTGTCCAAGCAGCAATGAAAGCTAGTCAAAATAGCAGTTATCCATAGGAGAGTAAAGTCTTTTTTGCTGTATAGGGCACACGTCGAGAAAGCTTAAAGGGGGGGGGGGGGGACACATGGAGAAAGGAACTAGAGAGCGATGTAAAAAGTAGCTAGGTAAAGGTGAAGGTGAAGGTGAGAGAATCGATTTCATTGCACAGGGTTTTATCCCATATGGCTCAGTCTCTCTATGCAGAACAGCTAGCTGTCTTCGCGAGCGCGACCTCTGTAGCTCCGACGACCAGGGATCTCCGTAAAAATTGCACTCGTGAATTGAGCGGCGCCGCCTTCAAAGGATCCGAGGACCTCAAAAGCGCGAGGCAAGCGGCTTGACCATTTCCCAGAAAGCTAGCTAAGGACTAAGGTCACGTGTTAGGCGCAAACGATAGCAAAGAATAGGACCACTTGAGCTGTCTGGGGGACTTCGCTTCATTGGGGCATTATGGGCGAAAGAAAAAAGGACATGTTACATCAGTTTCTGGATTCCATGGTAAACGGTGAAGTGTTGAACTTTCTCAACTATAAATGAAACAACAAAGATAAAGAACATTACTGCGGCATGCAGTGAGATATTCCACACCTTTGACAGTGACGCTAAACTAGTCAACCAGGGCTCTCAACGGCGGCCAGTCAACCAGCGCTCTCAACAGCGGCCAGTCAACCAGGGCTCTCAACAGCGACCAGTCAACCAGGGCTCTCAACAGCGGCCAGTCAACCAGGGCTCTCAACAGCGGCCAGTCAACCAGGGCTCTCAACGGCGGCCAGTCAACCAGGGCTCTCAACAGCGGCCAGTCAACCAGGGCTCTCAACGGCGGCCAGTCAACCAGGGCTCTCAACAGCGGCCAGTCAACCAGGGCTCTCAACGGCGGCCAGTCAACCAGGGCTCTCAACGGCGGCCAGTCAACCAGGGCTCTCAACAGCGGCCAGTCAACCAGGGCTCTCAACGGCGACCAGTCAACCAGGGCTCTCAACAGCGGCCAGTCAACCAGGGCTCTCAACGGCGGCCAGTCAACCAGGGTTCTCAAAAGTGGCCAGTCAACCAGGGCTCTCAACAGTGGCCAGTCAACCAGGGCTCTCAACGGCGGCCAGTCAACCAGGGCTCTCAACAGCGGCCAGTCAACCAGGGCTCTCAACAGCGGCCAGTCAACCAGGGCTCTCAACAGCGGCCAGTCAACCAGGGCTCTCAACAGTGGCCAGTCAACCAGAGCTTTCAACGGCGACCAGTCAACCAGGGCTCTCAACGGCGGCCAGTCAACCAGGGCTCTCAACAGTGGCCATTTGTATCGCTGTGTATCTTTTGCTTAACCCCCCCACGCCTCCCCCTCCACCCAAATAAACTTTCTCGCCCAGTAAGATCATTATAAAGAACTTGATGTTTTTAATGTAGCGTGTGAACAAGGTCGAAGAACAAGGCAGCGCGCAGTGACCGTGTGATCTGGCTAACGCCCAACAGAGAACATAGCAGCGTGCAGTGACCGTGTGATCTGTCTAACACTCAGAGAACAGGGCAGCGTGCAGTGACCGTGTGATCTGTCTAACACTCAGAGAACAGGGCAGCGTGCAGTGACCGTGTGATCTGGCTAACGCCCAACAGAGAACATAGCAGCGTGCAGTGACCGTGTGATCTGTCTAACACTCAGAGAACAGGGCAGCGTGCAATGACCGTGTGATCTGGCTAACACTCAGAGAACAGGGCAGCGTGCAGTGACCGTGTAATCTGTCTAACACTCAGAGAACAGGGCAGCATGTAGTGACCGTGTGATCTGTCTAACACACAACACTCAGAGAACAGGGCAGCGTGCAGTGACCGTGTAATCTGTCTAACACACAACACTCAGAGAACAGAGCAGCGTGCAGTGACCGTGTAATCTGTCTAACACACAACACTCAGAGAACAGAGCAGCGTGCAGTGACCGTGTAATCTGTCTAACACACAACACTCAGAGAACAGGGCAGCGTGCAGTGACCGTGTAATCTGTCTAACACACAACACTCAGAGAACAGAGCAGCGTGCAGTGACCGTGTGATCTGTCTAACACACAACACTCAGAGAACAGGGCAGCGTGCAGTGACCGTGTGATCTGTCTAACACACAACACTCAGAGAGCAGAGCAGCGTGCAGTGACAGTGTGATCTGTCTAACACACAACACTCAGAGAACAGAGCAGCGTGCAGTGACCGTGTGATCTGTCTAACACACAACACTCAGAGAAACAGGGCAGCGTGCAGTGACCGTGTGATCTGTCTACACACCAACACTCAGAGAGCAGAGCAGCGTGCAGTGACCGTGTGATTTGTCTAACACACAACACTCAGAGAACAGAGCAGCGTGCAGTGACCGTGTGATCTGTCTAACACACAACACTCAGAGAACAGGGCAGCGTGCAGTGACCGTGTGATCTGTCTAACACACAACACTCAGAGAACAGGACAGCGTGCAGTCACCGTGTGATCTGTCTAACACACAACACTCAGAGAACAGGGCAGCGTGCAGTGACCGTGTGATCTGTCTAATACTTAACACTCAGAGGACAGGGCAGCGTGCAGTGACCGTGTAATTTGTCTAACACTCAGCACTCAGAGAACAGGGCAGCGTGCAGTGACCGTGTGATCTGTCTGACACTCAACACTCAGAGGACAGCAAAGACAGACATACGCTGGTAACACTAGAACTGGAACTCTGCGCCAGCTGCTGAAGATTGGAACTGAGCACATGTGGGAATGTCCTGAGTATTATGATGTCGGTTCTCAACTCAGTGTAGCCCAAATATTTTTATCTGTGCCTTATTTATTTCGTCCAAGAACTTTCTTGTCATTCCCTGTCTGTCTTAAAAGGGAGGTGTTTCATTATCGTTGTTGTCATTATACGACACAGTCGTATACAATTAAATCTATGATATTGTTTATCTGATGCACTCGCTGTACGATGTTCTTTCATATCGCTTAGTTCATCTCTTGCTAGTAGGTACCCTTTCAGTTGCATGGTAAGTGGTCGAGCTGTAAACTCACAACCACTGCGTCTACACATCTAAATGAGATGAGATCCTTACCTGCGTCTACACATCTAAATGAGATGAGATCCTTACCTGCGTCTGCACTTCTAAATGAGATGAGATTCTTACCTGCGTCTGCACTTCTAAATGAGATGAGATCCTTACCTGCGTCTGCAGCTCTAAATGAGATCCTTACCTGCGTCTGCACCTCTAAATGAGATGAGATCCTTACCTGCGTCTGCACTTCTAAATGCGATGATATCCTTGCCTGCGTCTGCACTTCTAAATGAGATGAGATCCTTACCTGCGTCTGCATTTCTAAATGAGATGAGATCCTTACATGCGTCTGCACTTCTGAATGAGATCATTACCTGCGTCTGCACTTCTAAATGAGATGAGATCCCTTCCTGCGTCTGCACTTCTAAATGAGATGAGATCCTTACCTGCGTGTGCACCTCTAAATGAGATGAGGTCCATACCTGTGTCTGCACTTCTAAATAAGATGAGATCCTTACCTGCGTCAGCACTTCTAAATGAGATGGGATCCGTATTACCTGCGTCTGCACTTCTAAATTAGACGAGATCCTTACCTGCGTGTGCACTTCTAAATGAGATGAGATCCTCACCTGCGTCTGCACCTCTAAATGAGATGAGATCCTTACCTGCGTCTGCACTTCTAAATGAGATGAGATCCCTACCTGCGTCTGCGCTTCTAAATGGGATGAGATCCTTACCTGCGTCTGCACTTTTAAATGAAATGAGATCCTTACCAGCGTCTGCACTTCTAAATGAGATGAGATCCTTACCTGCGTCTGCACTTCTAAATGAGATGAGATATTTACCTGCGTCTGCACTTCTAAATGAGATGAGATCCTTACCTGCGTCTGCACTTCTAAATAAAATAAAATCCTTACCTGCGTCTGCACTTCTAAATGAGATGAGGTCCATACCTGAGTCTGCACTTCTAAATAAGTTGAGATCCTTACCTGCGTCTGCACTTCTAAATGAAATGAGATCCTTACCTGCGTCTGCACCTCTAAATGAGATGAGATCCTTACCTGCGTCTGCACTTCTAAATGAGATGAGATCCCTTCCTGCGTCTGCGCTTCTAAATGAGATGAGATCCTTACCTGCGTCTGCGCTTCTAAATGAGATGAGATCCTTACCTGCGTCTGCGCTTTTAAATGAGATGAGATCCTTACCTGCGTCTGCGCTTCTAAATGAGATGAGATCCTTACCTGCGTCTGCGCTTCTAAATGAGATGAGATCCTTACCTGCGTCTGCACTTCTAAATGAGATGAGATCCTTACCTGCGTCTGCGCTTCTAAATGGGATGAGATCCTTACCTGCGTCTGCGCTTCTAAATGAGATGAGATCCTTACCTGCGTCTGCACTTCTAAATGAGATGAGATCCTTACCTGCGTGTGCACCTCTAAATGAGATGAGGTCCATACCTTAGTCTGCACTTCTAAATGAGATGAGATCCTTACCTGCGTCTGCACTTCTAAATGAGATGAGATCCTTATCTGCTTCTGCACTTCTAAATGCGATGAGATATTTACCTGCGTCTGCGCTTCTAAATGAGATGAGATCCTTACCTGCGTCTGCGCTTCTAAATGAGATGAGATCCTTACCTGCGTCTGCGCTTCTAAATGAGATGAGATCCTTACCTGCGTCTGCACTTCTAAATGAGATGAGATCCTTACCTGCGTGTGCACCTCTAAATGAGATGAGGTCCATACCTTAGTCTGCACTTCTAAATGAGATGAGATCCTTACCTGCGTCTGCACTTCTAAATGAGATGAGATCCTTATCTGCTTCTGCACTTCTAAATGCGATGAGATATTTACCTGCGTCTGCGCTTCTAAATGAGATGAGATCCTTATCTGCGTCTGCACTTCTAAATGAGATGAGATCCTTACCTGCGTCTGTGTGTGTGCTCTCTGTATGTGTTTAAAAACTAAATATCCAACTTATCCAGAAGCTTCTAATGTAAGTTTCGTTGTAAAATATCAACCGTCCCGCCTCATATAACACTTGAGTCATGCCCCCATGCCTTCGGACGCATTGGCGACATGATTTTAGTCGTTTTTCGTTTCGTAACAACTCAAAAAATATTATTGTAAATAGATAAAAAGAAGTCATAAAAGAGTTGCATGACGTAGAAAGAGCAGAATTCACAGAAGAAAGCAACTTTTGAGGTTCGTCTATATGAGCAAAGAAACCACTGAAGCGATCAAACACATAAGATCGTACCTGAATAACCTGCTCAGTTCTATTGACAACAGTGCATATATACCTAGCGATATGCTGTCATCAACACTTAGGGCTTGACCCACCCAAGGGGCAAGGTAGCAGTTATGTAAGGCAACCTTTTGTGCGACTGCTAGCCTATTGAGCATTTTAGGGCTAGATCTATATTTGTATGTACCAGTCGGCACTCGGTGGGGGCTTATGTCAACATCAGGCTGACCGCCTTTACTTCCAAGGACTCTGCCTGGAACCCATTTAAGGCTAGGCCACTACATCATGGATGCTCCCTCAAGCAACCAGGAAAATTGACAACATAATTTACTATTTAACTTGTTCCTTTTTATGGCGGTATTCAAAAGTACGTAGAACAGACACTTTGATTGGCATCACTTTGCCAGAGCGACTGCAGTAGACATTTGTGTTGATTTGATGTGAACACAGAGTGATTAAAGTTGAGCTTTTTTACGTTGAACGAATATTTAACAAGTTGTGATTACATGCACTCTTTCGTAGACACTTTCCTCTTTTCCTCCTTCTTCTTCTTTCTTGCTTTTTTCTCCATTTTCTTCTTCTTCTTCTTCTTCTTCTTCTTCTTCTTCTTTTCTTCTTTTTCTTCTTCTTCTTCTTTTCTTCTTCTTCTTTCTTTTCTTCTTCTTCTTTCTTTTCTTCTTCTTCTTCTTTTCTTCTTTTTCTTTCTTTTCTTCTTCTTCTTTCTTTTCTTCTTCTTCTTCTTCTTCTTTCTTTTCTTCTTCTTCTTCTTTTCTTCTTCTTCTTTCTTTTCTTCTTCTTCTTCTTTTCTTCTTCTTCTTTCTTTTCTTCTTCTTCTTTCTTTTCTTCTTCTTCTTCTTTTCTTCTTCTTCTTTCTTTTCTTCTTTTCTTCTTCTTCTTTCTTTTCTTCTTCTTCTTTCTTTTCTTCTTCTTCTTTCTTTTCTTCTTCTTCTTCTTTTCTTCTTCTTCTTTCTTTTCTTCTTCTTCTTCGTCATCATCTTCTTATTATTATTATTTTTCTTATTCTGCTCTTGTTCGTCGTCGTCGTCCTCCTCCGATTCCTCTTTGAGCTGTGTAAGTTGGTCTGACAATCAGCCCCAGC